GCCGTCGAATACGCCGTCGCCGTCCAACTCACGCCCACGCCGTCGCCATCGAATACACCGTCGCCTTCCACGACGCCGTCGCCATCGCACACGCCGTCGCCTTCGTCCACTAATTCGGCCCCCCCGTCGCCATCGAATACGCCGTCGCCTTCCAACACACCCTCGCCGTCGAATACGCCGTCGCCGTCCAACTCACGCCCACGCCGTCGCCATCGAATACACCGTCGCCTTCCACGACGCCATCGCCGTCCACCACGCCGTCGCCTTCACACACGCCATCGCCGTCAAACACGCCAACTCCGTCCAACACGTCGTCGCCCTCCAACTCGGCCACGCCGTCGCCGTCTAATACGCCATCCCCTTCCACCACACCGTCGCCTTCAAGCACACCGTCGCCGTCTAACACGCCGTCGCCGTCTAACACGCCGTCGCTGTCCCCAACGGCGTCGCCGTCCAACACGCCGTCGCCATCTAACACGCCGTCGCCGTCCAATACGCCGTCGCCTTCGCCCACCAATTCACCCACGCCGTCGCCATCCACCACGCCATCGCCATCCAACACGCCGTCGCCGTCTAACTCACCGTCGCCGTCGAACACGCCATCACCTTCGGCCACGAATTCGCCCACGCCGTCGCCCTCCACCACGCCATCGCCGTCGAACACACCATCGCCTTCCACCACGCCGTCGCCGTCAAACACGCCGTCACCTTCCACCACGCCGTCGCCATCCAATACGCCGTCGCCCTCTAGCACACCATCGCTTTCCAACACGCCGTCGCCGTCCATTACGCCGTCGCCTTCGCCCACCAATTCACCCACGCCGTCGCCATCCACCTCGCCATCGCCATCAACCACGCCGTCGCCCTCCAACTCGGCCACGCCGTCGCCCTCTAACACGCCGTCTCCATCGAGCACGGCGTCACCTTCCAACTCGCCGTCGCCATCGAATACACCGTCGCCGTCTAGCTCACCGTCACGGTCCAACACGCCATCGCCTTCGAACACGCCGTCACCATCGAGCACGCCATCACCTTCGGCCACGAATTCGCCCACGCCTTCGCCATCCACCACGCCATCGCCATCTCCGTCGAACACGCCGTCGCCTTCGTCCACCAATTCGGCCACGCCGTCGCCATCGAATACGCCGTCGCCTTCCAACACGCCCTCGCCGTCGAATACGCCGTCGCCGTCCAACTCGCCGTCGCCTTCGAATACGCCGTCGCCGTCGTACGCACCGTCGCCGTCCAACACGCCATCCCCTTCCAACTCGGCCACGCCGTCGCCCTCCACCACGCCGTCGCCATCGAACACGCCGTCGCCTTCGAATACGCCGTCGCCGTCGAACACGCCATCACCGTCCAACACGCCATCGCCGTCGTCATCCACCACGCCGTCGCCATCGGCATCCACAACGCCGTCGCCGTCCAACACGCCCTCGCCTTCCAACACACCGTCGCCGTCCACCACGCCGTCGCCGTCCAACACGCCATCGCCGTCCAACACGCCATCACCATCGAACACGCCATCGCCATCCGCCACGCCGTCGCCGACCAAAACGCCGTCGCCAACGAGCACGTCATCGCCCTCCAACTCGGCCACGCCGTCGCCTTCAAACACGCCGTCGCCGTCTAATACGCCGTCCACCACTCCGTCACCTTCGAACACACCGTCGCCATCCACCACGCCGTCGCCTTCCACCACTCCGTCACCATCCAACACGCCATCGCCCTCCAGCTCGGCCACGCCGTCGCCTTCCACCACTCCGTCGCCCTCCACCACGTCATCGCCCTCCAACTCGGCCACGCCATCGCGCTCCACCACGCCGTCGCCATCGAACACACCCTCACCTTCCACCACGCCGTCGCCGTCGAACTCGCCGTCGCCGTCTAACACGCCATCGCCGTCCACCACGCCGTCGCCGTCCAACACGCCGTCGCCATCCACCACGCCATCACCTTCGTCCACTAATTCGCCCACGCCGTCGCCTTCCAACACGCCGTCGCCATCCAACACACCATCGCCGTCCAACACACCGTCGCCGTCTACTACGCCGTCGCTGTCGAACACGCCGTCGCCTTCCACCACGCCATCGCCGTCCAGCACGCCGTCGCCGTCCAACACGCCGTCGCCCTCCACCACGCCGTCGCCCTCCAACTCGGCTACGCCATCGCCATCCAACACGCCGTCGCCGTCGGCCACGCCGTCGCCATCCAACACGCCGTCGGCTTCCGCCACGCGGTCGCCATCTACCACGCCGTCAACGTCAAACACGCCCTCGCCTTCGCCCACCAATTCACCCTCGCGGTCGCCGTCCAACACGCCGTCGCCGTCTAACTCACCGTCGCCGTCGAACACGCCATCGCCTTCGCCCACCAATTCACCCACGCCGTCGCCATCCACCACGCCGTCGCCGTCTAACTCACCGTCGCCGTCGAACACGCCATCACCTTCGGCCACGAATTCGCCCACGCCGTCGCCATCCAACACGCCGTCGCCGTCTACCACGCCGTCGCCCACCAACACGGCGTCGCCGTCCCCAACGCCGTCGCCTTCCACCACACCGTCGCCGTCCAACACGCCATCGCCGTCCAACACGCCATCACCATCGAACACGCCATCGCCATCGGCCACGCCATCGCCATCAACCACGCCATCGCTGTCGAATACGCCGTCGCCGTCAAACACGCCGTCTCAATCCACCACGCCGTCGCCATCGGCATCCACAACGCCGTCGCCGTCTAACACGCCCTCGCCGTCGAATACGCCCTCGCCGTCCAACTCGCCGTCGCCGTCGCCATCCAACACGCCGTCGCCTTCCACTACGCCGTCACCTTCAAACACACCGTCGCCATCGGCCACGCCGTCGCCATCCACCACGCCGTCGCCGTCTGCCACGCCATCACCATCCACCACGTCATCGCCGTTAAACACACCGTCGCCTTCCACCACGCCGTCGCCATCAAACACCCCATCGCCTTCTCCCACAAATTCGGCCACACCGTCACCTTCCAACACGCCGTCGCCTCCACCACGCAGTCGCCATCGAACACGCCGTCGCCCTCCAACTCGGCCACACCGTCGCCATCGTCCACCAATTCGGCCACGCCGTCGCCATCGAATACACCGTCGCCTTCCAACACGCCCTCGCCGTCGAATACACGGTCGCCATCCAACTCGCCGTCGCCGTCGAACACGCCGTCGCCGTCGCCATCCAACACGCCGTCGCCTTCCAACACGCCGTCGCCTGCCACTACGCCGTCACCTTCAAACACACCGTCGCCGTCGGCCACGCCGTCACCATCCACCACGCCGTCGCTCGTCCAACACGCCGTCGCCTTCCACCACGCAGTCGCCATCCAACACGCCGTCGCCGTCAAACACACCGTCGCCGTCGCCGTCAAACACACCGTCGCCTTCCACCACGCCGTCGCCATCAAACACACCCTCGCCTTCTCCCACAAATTCGCCCACGCCGTCTCCATCCAACACGCCGTCAAACACGCCAACTCCGTCCAACACGCCGTCGCCTTCCAACACGCCGTCGCCTTCTAACACTCCGTCGCCGTCGAATACGCCGTCGCCGTCCGCCACTCCGTCGCCGTCGAATACGCCATCGCCATCAAACACTCCGTCACCATCCAACACACCCTCGCCGTCGAACACGCATTCGCCATCCACCACGCCATCACCTTCGGCCACGAATTCGCCCATGCCATCGCCATCCAACACGCCGTCGCCTTCTTCCACGAATTCACCCACGCCGTCGCCGTCCACCACGCCGTCGCCGTCGAACACGCCGTCGCCTTCCAACACACCGTCGCCTTCAACCACACCGTCGCCTTCGAATACACCATCACCTTCGCTCACGCCGTCGCCATCTAACACGCCGTCGCCGTCCAATACGCCATCCCCTTCGTCCACCAATTCACCCACGCCGTCGCCATCAACACGGCGTCGCCTTCCAACTCGCCATCGCCATCGAATACGCCGTCGCCGTCAAACTCACCGTCGCCGTCGAACACGCCATCGCCGTCCAACACGCCGTCACCATCGAACACGCCGTCACCATCGACCACGCCGTCGCCTTCGGCCACGAATTCGGCCACGCCGTCGCCCACCAACACGCCGTCGCCGTCCCCAACGCCGTCGCCTTCCAACACGCCGTCGCCTTCGCCCACGAATTCGCCCACGCAATCGCCGTCCAACACCCCGTCGCCTTCGCCGTCGCCTTACACCACGCCGTCGCCTTCCAACACGCCATCGTCGTCGACCACGCCGTCGCCGTCCGCCACGCCATCGCCTTCCAACACGCCATCACCGTCGAGCACGGAGTCACCTTCCACCTCGGCATCGCCATCGAACACGCCGTCGCCTTCGTCCACTAATTCACCCACGCCGTCGCCCTCCACCACGTCGTCGCCTTCGACCACGCCATCGCCTTCCAACACACCATCGCCATCAACCACGCCGTCGCCTTCCAACACGCCATCGCCGTCGAACACACCGTCGCCGTCCACCACTCCGTCGCCTTCCAACACGCCGTCGCTGTCTAACACGCCATCGCCTTCCACCACCCCATCGCCGTCGAACACGCAGTCGCCGTCGAACACGCCGTCCCCTTCTTCCACACCGTCGCCTTCCACCACGCCGTCACCTTCCACTACGCCGTCGCGATCCAATACGCCGTCGCCTTCGTCCACCAATTCACCCACGCCGTCGCCATCCATCTCGCCGTCGAATACACCGTCGCCATCAAACACGCCGTCGCCCTCCAACTCGGCCACGCCGTCGAGCTCTAACACGCCGTCTCCATCGAGCACGGCGTCGCCTTCCAACACGCCGTCGCGATCCAATACGCCGTCGCCCTCGTCCACCAATTCACCCACGCCGTCGCCATCGAATAGTCCGTCGCCGTCTAGCTCACCGTCACGGTCCAACACACCATCTCCGTCCAACACGCCGTCACCATCGAACACGCCATCACCTTCGGGCACAAATTCGCCCACGCCTTCGCCGTCCAACACGCCATATCCGTCCAACACGCCACCGCCCTCCAACTCGGCCACGCCGTCGCCGTCGAACACAAATTCGCCTTCCACCACGCCGGCGCCGTCCACCACGCCGTCACCTTCCAACACGCCATCGCCGTCCAACTCGGCCACGCCGTCTCCATCGAACACGCCGTCGCCATCGATTACGCCGTCGCCTTCGTTCACCACGCCATCGCCGTCAAACACGCCGTCGCCATCTACCACGCCGTCGCCTTCGTCTACGAATTCGCCCACGCCGTCGCCGTCGAATACGGCATCACCGTCCAACACGCCATCGCCGTCCACCACGTCGTCGCCGTCGAACACTCCATCGCCATCAAACACGCCGTCGCCATCCAACACGCCGTCGCCGTCCAACGCACCATCGCCTTCCACCACGCCGTCGCCATCAAACACACCCTCGCCTTCGCCCACAAATTCGCCCACGCTCTCACCATCCACCACGCCGTCGCCGTCCAACACGCCGTCTCCGTCGACCACACCATCTCCGTCCAACACGCCGTCGCCTTCGCCCACGAATTCGCCCACGCCGTCGCCGTCCAACACACCATCGCCTTCCACCTCGCAGTCACCGTTAAACACGCCGTCGCCCTCCAACTCGGCCACGCCGTCCAACACGCCATCACCATCAGCCACGCCGTCGAGTACGCCGTCGCCTTCAAACACGCCGACGCCGTCGCCATCCGCCACGCCGTCGCCTTCGTCTACGAATTCGCCCACGTCGTCTCCGTCGAACACGCCGTCGCCATCCAACACGCCGTCGCCGTCAAACACGCCGTCCCCCTCCAATTCGCCCACTCTGTTGCCCTCTAACACGCCGTCGCCATCGCCGTCGACCACGCCGTCGCCATCCGCCACGCCGTCGCCGTCCACCACGCCATCGCCCTCGCCATCACCCTCGAGCACGCCGTCGCCCTCACGCACATCTTCGCGTCCCCCTCGATCACGCCCTCGCCATCCACCACGTCGTCACCTTCGCCCTCGAGCACATCCTCACCGTCGTCCTTGAGCACGCCTTCACCCTCGAGCACGCCCTCGCCATCACCCTCGAGCACATCCTCACCCTCCCGCACGCCATCGCCGTCAGGCACAGCCTCGCCGTCACCCTCTAGTACGCCTTCGCCATCCCGCACCCCATCAAGCACCACGTCACCTTCGCCCTCGAGCACGCCGTCGAGCTCAAGCACCCCCTCGCCGTCGCCGTCAAATACGCCGTCGCCGTCGCCATCGAGCACGCCCTCGCCGTCGCCATCGAGCACGCCCTCGCCGTCGCCATCGAGCACATCCACGCCGTCACCGTCACCCTCGAGCACGCCCTCGCCATCGAGCACTCACTCGCCGTCACAATCGAGCACGCCCTCCAGTTCGCCGTCGAGCACACCCTCGCCGTCACCCTCCACCACGCCATCGCCATCGTCATCGCCTTCCAGCACGGCTTCGCTCTCGCCCTCGAACACCCCGTCAAGCTCGCCCTCTCCATCGAGCACTCCGTCCCCGTCGAGCACGCCCTCAGGCACAACTTCCCCATCACCTTCCCCGACGCCGTCGTCCTCGAGCACGCCGTCGCCGTCACGTACGTCCTCGGCAACCCCGTCGGCATCTCCATCTAACACTCCCTCGCCCTCGCCCTCGAGCACTCGCTCGCGTACTCCGTCACCGTCCAGCACGCCGTCGCCCTCTAGCTCACCGTCGCCGTCGCCCTCTAACTCGCCGTCACCTTCCAACTCACCGTCGCCGTCCACCACGCCATCACCGTCCGACACGCCGTCGCCGTCCACCACGCCATCGCCTTCCAACACGCCGTCGCTATCCATCACACCGTCGCCGTCGAACACGCCGTCCCCTTCCACCACGCCATCGCCATCCACTACGCCATCGCCGTCGAACACGCCATCGCCTTCGTCTACGAATTCACCAACGCCATCGCCGTCCAATACGCCGTCGCCGTCCAACACGCCGTCGCCGTCCAACACGCCATCGCCGTCCCAGACGCCGTCGCCGTCCCAGACCCCGTCTCCGTCCACCACTCCATCGCCATCGAACACACCATCACCGTCGCCTTCGCCCACGCCGTCGCCGTCCAGCACGCCGTCGCCCTCCACCACGCCGTCGCCGTCGAATACACCATCGCCTTCCACCACGCCGTCGTCATCCGCCACGCCGTTACCGTCGAACACGCCATCGCCGTCGGCTTCTACCACGCCATCGTCATCGAACACGCCATCTCCGTCCACCACGCCATCGCCATCAAACACGCCGTCTCCGTCCACCTCGCCATCGCCTTCCAACACGCCGTCGCCTTCCGCAATGAATTCGCCGTCCAACACGCCCTCCCGTCCCCTACGACGACGCCTTCCAACACGCCGTCGCCTTCGCCCACAAATTCGCCCACGCCGTCGCCGTCCAACACGCCATCGCCATCCAACACGCCGTCGCCATCGAATACGCCGTCGCCTTCCTCCACGCCGTCGCCGTCGTCCACGAATTCACCCACGCCGTCGCCTTCCAACACGCCGTCTCCGTCCAACACGCCGTCGCCATCCACCACGCCGTCGCCTTCCACCACGCCGTCGCCGTCCAACACGCCGTCGCCTTCGAACACGCCGTCGCCTTCCACCACGAATTCACCAACGCCATCGCCGTCCACCACGCCGTCGCCATCGAAGACGCCATCCCCGTCCCAGACGCCGTCGCCGTCCACCACGCCATCGCCATCGAGAACGGCGTCGCCTTCCAACTCGCCGTCGGCATCGAATACGCCGTCACCGTCTAACTCACCGTCGGCGTCCAACACGCCATCGCCTTCCAACACGCCGTCGCCTTCCAACACGCCGTCGCCGTCCAATACGCCGTCGCCGTCCAACACGCCATCACCGTCCGCCACGCCATCACCGTCCACCACGCTGTCGCCTTCCACCACGCCGTCGCCTTCAACCACGCCGTCGCCCTCTAACACGCCGTCGCCATCCGTCACGCCGTCACAATCCAACACGCCGTCACAATCCAACACGCCGTCGCCGTCAAACACGCTGTCGCCGTCAAACACGCCGTCGCCATCCAACACGCCGTCGCCGTCAAACACGCCGTCGCCATCCAACACGCCATCGCCTTCGAGCACATCCTCGCCCTCCCAATCTCCATCGAGCACCCCCTCATGCACGCCTTCTCCCTCCAACACGCCGGCCCCATCCAACACCCCATCGCCCTCACCGTCGAGCTCTCCGTCCATAACGCCATCACCATCGCCCTCCAGTACTCCATCGCCCTCCAGCACCCCATCGCCCTCGCGCTCGCCATCCACCACTCCGTCGACCTCACTCTCGAGCACCCCCTCCCCTTCCGCCACGCCCTCGAGCACGCCTTCACTGTCCAGTACGCCGTCGCCCTCAAGCACGGAGTCACCTTCGAACACCCCCTCGCCGGCGAGCACAAGCTCGCCGTCGGGCACTCCGTCGCCGTCGCACACGGCCTCGCCTACCCTGTCACCGTCTCGCACGCCCTCGCCGTCGAGCACGCCATCATCGTCGATCACCGTCTCGCCCTCGCCGTCGAGCACACCATCACCGTCGTCCTCCAGCACTCAGTCGCCGTCGCCGTCGCCGTCGCCCTCAAGCACGGCATCACCGTCCAGCAGTCCGTCGCCATCGTCGTCACCGTCGAGCACGCCCTACATTACACCATCGGCCTCCAGTACGCCATCGCCCTCGGGCACGCCGTCCAGCACTCAGTCACCGGCGCCCTCGAGTACGGCGTCGCCATCGACATCGCCCTCATCCACTGTGTCGCCGACGAGCACGGCTTCGCCCTCTGTCACCGCTTCACCATCCACTACCCTGTCGCCGTCCAGCACCCCATCACCGTCGCCGTCGAGCACGTCGTCGCCCTCCGTCACGCCGTCGCCGTCGAGCACGCCGTCGCCATCTCCCTCAGGCACTCCATCGAGCACACCCTCACCGTCGAGCACTCTGTCATCGTCGAGCACGCCGTCGCCGTCTCCCTCAGGCACCCCATCGAGCACGCCCTCACCATCTGGCACACCTTCACCGTCTTCCTCCCGCAGTCCGTCGCCATCATCGAGCACGCCCTACATTACGCCATCACCGTCCAGCACTCCGTCACCGTCGATCACGGCATCGCCCTCCGGGACGCCTTCGTCCACACAGAGCCCCTCGATCACGCCGTCACCATCTGTGAGCCCTAGCCCCTCAAACTCACCGTCGCCTACCCAGTCACCCTCTGACTCGCCCTCGCCCTCGTCGACGCAGTCGCCATCAAGCACGCCGAGTCCTTCGCCAACCCAGTCACCGAGTCTGAGCCCCTCAGTCACGCCCACGCCGTCATTGACTCAGTCGCCTTCGAACACGCCCTCACCGACTCAGTCGCCCTCGAGTTCGCCATCACCGTCGCCAGCGCCAACCCAGTCATCCACGCCAAGCCCATCAGGCACGCCCTCGCCATCGTCAACCCAGAGCCCATCCAACACGCCGTCGCCCAGCCAGTCCCCAAGCCAGAGTCCGGCGAGCACGCCCACGCCATCGCCCTCCAATACGGCCTCGCCATCGAACTCACCGTCATTGTCGAGCACTCCCTCGCCGTCCAGCACTGCATCACGCTCGCCCTCGCCCTCTCTCTCGAGTACTCCGTCGCCCTCCATTTCGCCCTCCCCCTCTAGCACGCAATCGCCCTCTCCCTCCAGCTCGACCTCCAGCACCCCGTCGACCTCGAGATCGCCATCGAGCACATCCTCGCCCTCGCCTTCGAGCACAGCGTCATCATCGCCCACGCCATCGCCCTCCAGCACCCCGTCGTCATCGAGCACGCCGTCACCGTCGAGTACCCCGTCGTCCTCCAGCACTCCGTCACCGTCGCCGTCGCCTTCAGGCACGGCGTCATCGTCCAGTACTCCGTCGCCATCGTCGTCACCGTCGAGCACGCCCTACATCACACCGTCGGCCTCCAGCACTCCACCATCCTCGGGCACACCGGCGCCGTCGTCCTCAAGCACTCCGTCGCCCACGCGCACGCCCTCACCGTCGATCACTGCGTCGCCCTCTGCGACGCCATCTTCCACACAGAGCCCTTCAATCACGCCGTCGCCGTCCAGCACGCCGTCGCCTTCCACAACGCCGTCGCCATCGCCGTCCAACACGCCATCTCCGTCCACCTCGCCGTCGCCTTCCACAACGCCGTCGCCTTCCACAACGCCGTTGCCTTCCGCAACGCCGTCGCCATCGCCGTCCACCACGCCATCGCCTTCCAATACGCCATCGCCTTCCGCAACGCCGTCGCCATCGCCGTCCACCACGCCATCGCCTTCCAACACGCCGTCGCCGTCCCCTACGGCGTCGCCTTCCAACACGCCGTCACCTTCGCCCACAAATTCGCCCACGCCGTCTCCGTCCAACACGCCGTCGCCGTCCAACACGCCATCGCCGTCCAACACGCCATCGCCGTCCAACACGCCGTCGCCTTCCACCACGCCGTCTCCGTCGCCGACTCGGTCGCCCTCCAGCACTGCGTCCCCTACGAAGTCGCCGACTAACTCGCCCACGCAGTCCCCGTCAATGTCGCCGCCGCCGTCGCCCAGCCAGAGTCCGTCGAGCACACCCACGCAATCGCCGAATACTCCCTTGCCTTCATCGAGCCCGACGAACACACTGACGCCTTCGCCCACCCGGAGCCCATCGAGATCGCCGACGCCGACGCCGACGCCGTCACCGTCGCGCTCACCATCGCCTTCGTCGACCCGGAGCCCTTCACCGTCGCCGTCGGTCAGCCCCTCGAGCACGGCCACCAACTCCCCAACGCTCTCGCCGACCCAGTCGCCCTCAAACTCGCCTACGCCATCTCCCTCGCATTCAAACACGCCGTCGCCCTCGTCAACCTCCTCCACGACCCCGGCGTCCTCCCAGTCACCGACCCAGTCGCCCACGTCATCACCTACCCAGTCACCAACCCCATCTTCCACCCATTCCCCGACTCAGTCGCCATCGTCATCGCCGACACATTCACCGACCCCGTCACCCACGTCATCGCCGACTCAGTCCCCCACGCAGTCGCCGACCCAGTCACCCACGCAGTCGCCGTCCCGCTCTCCCACTATGTCGCCGACCCAGTCACCCTCCAGTACCCGGTCGCCCACGCAAAGTCCCACGTCATCGGTCACCCCGTCGATCACGCCAACGCCGTCGCCATCGAACACGCCGTCGCCCACCCAGGCACCATCCAGCTCGCCCTCGCCTTCGTCGACCCGGACGCCAGCGCTGTCGCGGTCGCCCTCCCGGACCCCGTCAAAGTCAGCCACACCGACCATGACCCCCAGCCCGTCCAGCACGCCGTCGCCCCCTGTCACGCAGTCGCCCACCCCATCTCGCACGCAGTCGCCCACCACCACGCCGAGCCCGTCGCGCTCGGACTCGCCGACCAGCACGCGCACGCCATCGCCGACCGGATCGCGCTCGGCCACGCGGTCGCCCACCAGCTCGGCATCGCCAACCAGCACGCGCACGCCATCGCCGACCAGCTCACCCTTGGCCACCCGGTCGCCCACCAGCTCAGCATCGCCAACTGGCACGCGCACGCCGACCAGCACGCGCACGCCATCACCCACCAGCTCGCCCTCGGCCACCCGGTCGCCCACCAGATCGTCATCGCCGACCAGCACGCGCACGCCGACCGCGACCCGCACGCCCTCGTCTACCGGCACGCCGACGTCCAGCCCCACGCCCACCTCGACCGGCACTCCGTCGACCACGCGCACACCTACGTCGACGCCCACCAGCTCGCGCACGCGGACGCCGACCCCGAGCGTCACAGCCTCAAACACGCGCACTCTGTCGCCCACCCCGACAAGCCGCCCGTCGAGCACGTCGACACCGACACCCATGCCCTCGACCACTTCGACCAGCGCCAGCACGCCGTCAAGCTCGGCCACGAGAACACCGACGCCCACTATTTCGGTCACACCCACCGTCACCAGCTCGTCGTCGCCCACCAGATCGGTCACGCCCACGAGCTCCCGCTCGCCATCGCCCACCAGATCGGTCACGCCCACAAGCTCGGTCACGCCCACGGGTACCCGCTCGCCGTCGCCGTCCAGATCAATCACGCCCTCGACCACTGGCACGCCATCGCCCACCAGGTCGCCTACGCGGACCACCTCGCCAACGTCGCCAGCCAGGCCCTCGCCTACTAAATCGGCTACGCCCTCAGTTTCGACGGCTCCATCGCCCACTGGGTCGCCTACCAACTCAGCCACCCGCGCGCCGTCGCCTTCACCCTCCGGTTCAAGCTCGCCGACACCCACCAGCTCGGTCACGCCCGCAACCACACGCACGCCGTCGTCCACCCCGACAGGCACTCCCTCAAACAGGGCCTCGTCGACGCCAACGCCGTCAACCACGCTATCCGCGTCGCCCTCCAACTCACCCACGCCGACGGGCACCAGTTCGCCGTCGCCCACGGCCTCTATCACGCTTACCCCGTCGCCCCCCCGATCGGCCACGCCATCGAGCTCGTCTTCGCCGTCCAACTCGCGCACCCCTTCGCCTTCCAGATCGGCAACACCATCGAGCTCGTCTTCGCCGTCCAACTCGCGCACTCCGTCCCCTACCAGCTCGCCCACCCGGTCGCCCACGCCATCGATCTCGTCTTCGCCGTCCAACTCGCGCACCCCGTCGCCTTCCAGGTCGGCTACGCCCACGTCCTCCTCCACGCTCAGGCCCTCGAACACCCGCACGGCGTCTCCCACCATCTCCCTTTCGCCCTCGCCGTCGCGCACTGTCACCCCGTCCGTCTCCCAGTCGCCCACCAGTTCGCGCACGCCGACCAACTCGCCGTCGGTCACGCCCACCGTTTCCCGCACGCCGACCAACTCGCGCACGCCGTCGCCCACTATCTCCCTCACCCCAACGGCGACACCGTCCAACTTGCCAACGCCGTCCAATTCGCCCACGCCCTCCCGCACGCCGTCTACCACGCCGACGGCCTCGCCCACCATCTCCCACACGCCTTCGATCACCCCCACGATCTCGCGCTCGCCCTCGGCCACGCCCACCATCTCGCGCTCGCCTTCCCGATCGCCTGGCGCCTCCCGATCGCCGTCCAACACCCGCAGCCCGTCTCGCACGCCGTCACGCACCCCCGCCGCGTCGCCCACAATCTCCGGCACACCGTCGATCACGCCCACCATCTCGCGCTCGCCGTCGATCACCCCCACCATCTCGCGCTCGCCATCGCGCACGCCCAGCGCCTCGCGCTCAGCGTCCAACACGCGCACGCCCATCGTCACACGCTCGGTGACGCCCACCATCTCCGTCACGCCGTCGATCACCACCTCCCGCTCGCCGCCGCGCACGCCCACGCCCTCCAACTCCAACTCGCCCTCGCCGTCGCCCTCCGTTTCATCCACGCCCTCCAACCCGCCCACGCCCACGCCCTCCGTCTCCCTCTCCGCGACGCCGTCGCCCTCCGGCTCCCACACGCCACCGCCGTCGCCCTCCCTCACGCCCAGCAACTCCCCATCGCCCACCGCCTCCGAGTCACTGACGCCCCGGCCGACCCGCTCGCCTTCGCGGTCGCCGTCGCCTAGCCGCACCCCGACCAGTTCGCCGTCGCTCACGCCCTCGACCAGCCCGACGAGCTCGCTCACCCCCAGCCGCTCGCCCTTTGCTTCGCATGCGGCCGCCACCTCGCCCCGCGCGCCGTCCGAGTCGCCCACGCGTACGTCATCGCCCTCGGGCTCGAGATCGCCCACTGAGTCGCCGTCGGCCTCGGTCTCCCCCACTGCATCGCGCACGCCGCCCCCGTCGCCCCCCACATCGCCGACCAACTCGCCCACTCCGACGCCCTCAGTCTCGTCGTCGCCGTCCAACTCGGCTTCGCCCAACCCCTCGAGCTCGAGCACGGCCTCGGCCTCGCCGAGCCGCACCTCGTCGCCCTCTAAGTCGGCCTCGCGGTCGGCCACGCCCTCCACCTCGTCATCGCCTTCCAACTCGCCCACGAGCACCCGCACGCCGACCAGCACCCGCACGCCGTCGCCGTCGCCCACCGTCACCCGCACGCCGACGCCCTCCACCTCGATCACGCCCACCAGCTCGCGCACGCCGTCGCCCACCCGCTCCAGCACACGCACGCCGTCGCCCACCCGCTCGCAGACGCCCTCCAACTCACGCACGGCATCGCCCACCCGCTCCCAAACCCCCTCCAACTCGCCCTCCAACTCGATCACGCCCACCAGCTCCCGCACGCCGTCACCCACGGGCTCAGTCTCGCGCTCTCCGTCGGTCACGCCCAGCGTCTCCCGGTCACCGTCGCCGTCCACCTCGCTCACGCCGATGGGCTCGCCCTCCCGGTCGCCCACGCGCTCGGCCAGCGCCAGCTTCACGCCCAGCCCCAGCGCGGCTTCGGCGTCGCCCTCAAAGGGCGACTTCACGGTACAGCCCTTCGTCTCGCTCGTACCGTTCACCACCGTCTCGCCGTCGCGCTCGGCCACCCCGAGCCCGCCATCGGCTTCGCCCAGCCCGACCCCCGCCGCAGCAGGCTCCTCACCGGGGTCTAGCGGGTCGCCGTCGCCCTCCACAACGCCGTCGTCGCCCGGCTCCGAGCCGTCATCGTCGTCACTGGGCTTCGTCTCGGTCTCGCCCACGCGCTCGCCCACCGCCAGCTCGACCCCCAGCCCCAGCGCGGCGTCGGCGACGCCCTCCAAGGGGGACTTCACTGTGTTGCCCTTCGTCACCCTGGTCCCCTTCACCACCCCGTCGGCCACGCGCTCAACGACGCCAACCGCCTCCGCCACCGCCACGGCCGCGTCGCTCTCTGTCACTCGGTCGGTTTCGCCCTCGCCCTCGGCCACCGCTACGCCCTCCCGATCGGTCTCTCCCACCCGCTCGGCCAGCCGCAGCCCCGCAGCGTCTGAGTTCGGAGGCCAGGGCGACGCGTCCCGCACGCCGTCGCCTCGCACCAGTGGCGTCTTCACGACATTGCCCTTCGTCACCTTACTGGGATCGCCCTCGGTCGCCGTAGCGAAGCGTCAGGGGTCCACTGATGCCGACTACGAAGTCAATCCCCAGCCTGGCCGCCGCTCGCTGCTGGCGAAGGCGGAGCCCAACGACGACTACGAGCCGCCGGTCAGCGTTCTAGGCTTGGCTCTGTGCCTGGTGGCTGCTGCAGCCGTGACTGCGGTATTGCTGCGCAGACGGCCCCAGCAGCCCACCAACGCACACCGGTTGGCTATCGTGTAATTTTTTCGTTTTATTAAAATATATCTTTTCTTTTTCTACACAGCCTTCTTCACAATAGGACAAAGGTGGAGCGGAAAAGGACAGCCTTTTTTGGCGATTAGTAGTTTTGTTGATCTTTTCCCCCAGCGGAGAAGGAATGAAGAGGAGTGGATGGGCCGCGGTGTCCACCGTGTTGGTGGTGCTATGTGCTCTGTGCTGTGTTCAGGGCGAAACCGAGATTAACTTCAACTTCAAGGGTTCGCGCAACTTCCCACATTGACTTGGTAGCCGGCTCCTCCTTTGTCTGACCTTCCTCGCGGATTGCCAAACAGACCTAATGAAGTCCTGCGACGAAGCCCCTCCTCCCCCGCCCCCTCCTGTGGTGGAGGAGTTCGACTACATCATCGTCGGCGCAGGACCTGCCGGTTGCGCCCTGGCCAGAAGGCACTCACCCTATTCCATCCAGCCATACTGACACATCAACCTAACACAAAATACTATAATATTATTTTAAATAAAGGTTGTCAGAGGTCGAGGACGCAACGGTGCTGCTTTTGGAGACTGGCGGAGAGCCGACGGAGGAGGAGGACCTGAAGCGATTGATCCCGCGCTTCCAGCTGAACGAGGCCCTCATGAACCCGACCTTCTCGCGCGCCGCTTTCACCGAATCCTCCGCGTCCGCCATCAACCGACGCTTCCATGTCTACGAGGGGCGCAGCTTTGGGTTCGTTTCGCCTGCCGAGTTGTCAACACGCACAAGCACTGTGACTGATGGTGGAGTGCGTGTTGCGCATCTCGTGTCGCAGCGGTGGAAGCAACATCTTCGGAGCGCTCCACCATCGCCCGAGCCTGAGCGACATCGACGCGTGGCAGTGGCCCGGCCTGAACATGACCGAGGCCCTCTACTACTTCAAGAAGTCCGAGAACCATCCCCTCGCCGGAGACAGCCCCTTCCACGGAGGTGACGGTAGAGCCGCCCACTCCCAGCGCACATTCAACCATTCCCGCCGCCTTAATCACACCACCACCACCACCACCACCACATCCAGGCCCCATCCCGATCCACATCGACAACGACGAGGATGTGCACTACGGGCAGGACCTCCTGATCCAGGCCGCAGCCAACCTGGGCTTCCCCACGCCCGAGGACATGGAGAACGGCTACAACACGTACCTTGGCGCCCACACGATGCATGCAGCGACCTGCCCCCCCAAATTGCTTGGCTGACTGCTGCGTGTAGGATCGGAGTTGGAACTGTGAATCGGGCAATGGCCAATGGCAGGCGTCTTAGCTCCTACGACATATGGCTGCCGGAGGTATAGCATCTATAGTAGTCCTACATATTGGATAAGTGGCCTAATCAGTTTTTCGCAGGAGCTGAGGCTCGCGAGAAGTAACCTGGAGCTCCGAAGCGGCGCCCAAGTGCTGCGGGTGCTGATCGACCATGATGCTACGGCCTACGGCGTCGAGTACCTCAAGGACACCACCCGTGTCAAGGTACCTACCTCGCCACCGGCCACGGGCATCCTGCCTCGCCTCTCTTTTCAGCGCCACAACCCACGCACACCGCGCACACCTCGCATACCTCGCATACCGCACACCGCACACCGCACACGCATTACTCATGTCCGCACAGGTTCGGGCCAGCCGAGAGGTGATCCTGAGCGCGGGCGTGGCAAGGTCGCCCCAAATCCTGATGCTCTCGGGCGTCGGCCCTGCTGAGCACCTGGAATCCCACGGCATCGACGTCAAGGTCGACCTGCCCGGCGTGGGCCAGAACTACGTCGAGCGTCCGCGCTCCATTGTCGCCTTCGCCAGCACTCAGGTCCACACCTGCGCTTTCCCAATCTTTGGACGTGCTCAGCCACCAATCTCAGGCCTGACACGACATATACGACATATACGACACAGACCGACCCGGCCATGACTGCGGCCGTCTCTTCGGGCGAGGTGTTCTACCAGTGGCAGATGACGTACGTCGCCTCGTGCTATTCATCTCTGGGGTGGGGGATGGGTCAAAGAAAAGAAAATGCATAACATATAATACATATATAAAAAATATGGTGTGGGTTGGCTGACCTCATCATTTGTTGGGTGGTTGGGGGGGGGGGTATTACCAGGGGAAAGGGACCGCTCACCAAGGGGTCATCGGGAGCCAAGGGCACCCTCAGCTTCCCCGGAGTAATTCCCGGCTCCAACTTTGACTTCCATGTACACGCTACCCCCCCCCTGCGTGTGCGTGTGCATGTGCGTGTGTCGTGTGTCGTGTGTCGTGTGTCGTG